CCCCGACGGCGTAGTGGAGGCTTTCAGTACATAGCCGAAGGCCAGACCAGATCAAAGAGGTGGAAGGCTTGACGACGGATCAACGAAGAGGAACCCCGGCAACGAGAGCAACAGCGGAAACACCAGCAACGGAGGAGATCACCCGGACGGGTACACCAAGGTCACCAAGGACGCACCAAGGGTCATTCCCGGGAACCCGCATAAATCACCATTGTAAGAGAGAGAGCAGAGAATAAAGAGATTGCACAAGGGAAAGCTACTTGTATTATTTTCTGGGCTTGGGCAATCACGTCGAATCTATAAATTCGGTGGAACGGATCCGCGAAACTCTGTGAGCTAGCCGCGGCAAATTGTGGCGAGCGGAAGCAGAAATAACAGTTCGTTACAACTGGCGCCCAAACTTCGTGATTGCATTTAGCCTAGAAAATAACGTAGCAGAAAGATGGGAAGAAAGAATTGGATCTACACATTGAGAAAGGAGGAGCTGAGCGAGGGTCTACCAGCAGACGGGACTGTGGAAGCAATGAGGTCCTCAGTGGCGAGGTGGGTCGACGAATCCAAGGAAGAGGAGGTACTGGCGTTAACGCACGGCCTAGAGGAAAGATTCGGACAAAGATCAACCCCCAGGCAGAGAGCAGCCAGCGAAACCGAGAAGTTTATAGAGAGCCTGGCGGTACCAGATCCAAGAATGGGAAGGAGCATAGAGCCGCAGTCAAGGAAGTATGTTCCGGCCCCGGTGGATTACGCCAAAGTAGCCAGACAAGTGCGGGACTGGTCGTTTCGTTTCGACGGTACAGGGGACCCGTTAGAGTTCCTGGACCGAGTAACGTGGTCCGCAAAGACATACGGATTGGACATAAATACGATCCCCAGAGCCATGCCAGAGCTACTGCAGGGCAGGGCCCAAAGATGGTTCATCATGGAACGACGAAGAATGGCCAACATGGGCGAGGTTCAAGGCAAGCTTTGAGAATTTCTTCCTGCCGAAAGGATACTTCGAAAAGTTGGCGGACCAAGTTCGCCAACGGAAGCAGCGTCGTGGAGAGCCTTTCAAAGAATACATGGTGGACCTTCAGTCACTAATGAAACCATTAGGAAAAACCACGAAAGAAGTGATAGAGAGGCTCGTCGAGAACTGCATGCCAAGGATGAAGATGTTCATAAGGCCATACGCCTGCGCGTCGTTAGAGGAGGTGATGGGCCTAGCAGAGGAGTTTGAGGAATTAGCACAGGAGGAAGAGGCCTTTAACAGGCAAGTGGCCACAGAACAAAGGTGGAGCCACAGTCAGCCGCCCGTAAACGAGAGATATAAGAGAGAAGAATCGCAGCATAGCGAAGCGGCAAGGTACCAGAGGGACCAATGGACCCAGAAAGGACAAAGGGACGATTTCCACCACCAGGCCGTCCAAAACACACAATGGGCACCGAGGTGGCAAAGAGAGGAACCGCGCCAAGGCCCACCGGAGCGACAAAACAGCATGAACCAAAGTTGGATGCCAAGATGGCAGCCTGAGACCCAGCATAGGCCGGCTCCGCAACAGCCTAGTCAGCAGTGGGCAGCAGGGCCAAGGCAGGGTTCTGTGGAAAACCCGGCTCAAGCATGCAACAGGTGCGGTGGCATGGGCCATTGGGCCAGCGGGTGCAGGAACCCACGAATTTTGTTCTGCAAGATGTGCGGCGCAATAGGGGTAAGGAGCACGGAATGCTGCCAGAGGGCGGGAAACGCGCAGCGGTCTCAGCAACAAGGAGGAGAGCCGGGATCGCACGGTGCTGCCTCTCAAAATTAATAGGAGGACTATCCGAGGAGGAGCAGCAGCTGACGGCAACCATCGAGGTCGAGGGCACAGAGATAAAGGCCATGCTGGACACGGGAGCAACGGCGAGTTTCATCTCTGAAGAGCTAGCGGAAAGGCCGGGGGTCACCGGGCAACGAATCGCAAAAAGGAAACTTGTGAAGCTGGCTAACGGGAGCCATACGGAGACACGCGTCGTGCTCCAAGCCAGGATAAGTTTCGGCGATCGCACAAAAACCCTAAACCTGCTGGTGATGCCAGGCATGGAGGACAATCTGGTGCTAGGATGGGATTTCCTCAGCGAGTTTGGCACAACCTTGACGTGCGCAGGCCACCGGATTTCAATACCCAAAAGGAAAAGATGGGCCGGCTGTCTGGAGGATAGACTGTCCGTAGCGGTAGCCGGATGCCCAGAAAAATGGGAAGAGGAACGTGTCAAAAGATTCATCGAAAGGGAACTGGAGGCGTTCGCAGGCCAGAAGGGCTGTTCGAACATAACGCAGCACAGGATCACGATGAAGGACGACATTCCCATAAAACAACGGTATTACCCCAAAAATCCAAAAATTCAGGGGGAGATAAACTCAAAGGTGGAGGAATTGCTGGAAAGGGATGCATCGATCCCTCAAATAGCGCGTACAGTTCACCCATCGTAATGGTGAAGAAGAAAACGGGGCAATGGAGGATGTGCGTGGATTTCCGACAAATTAATGCAAAATCAATAAAAGATGCGTACCCGAAGCCTCGCAAAAATTTCATTTTGGAGCAGCTGAGAGAAGCAAGGTTCTTCAGCAGTCTCGATTTGAAGGATGGGTACTGGCAGATCCCCCTAGAGGAAAGCAGCAGGAAATTCACCGCCTTCACCGTTCCAGGGAAGGGTCTATACCAATGGAAAGTGATGCCTTTTGGGTTGCACTTAGCCTCGGCAACGTTTCAAAGGGCCCTGGACCAGGTCATAGGCCCGGATATGGCTCCACACGCATTCGCGTATCAGGATGACATTATAGTGATCGGACGCACCAAGGAGGAGCATATGCGGAATCTAGAAGAGGTATTCAGGAGGTTGAGAGCGGCAAACCTGCGGATAAATACGGAAAAGTGTCATTTCTTCAGGCAGGAGCTGCTCTACCTGGGACACCGGATAACAAGCCAAGGGATCGGAATGGATCCGGGAAAGGTGGCCGCGATTACAGAGCTACAACTCCCGACGAACGTCAAGGGAGTGCGCCAGTTCATAGGGATGGCATCGTGGTATCGGCGTTTCGTCCCAGACTTCGCAGGAATAGCGAAGCCCCTGAACGACCTTCTGCGAAAAGGAACAAAGTGGGAGTGGACAACCAAGCACCAAGAGGCCTTTGAGACTTTAAAGTCACGGCTGGCGGAGGATCCAGTGCTAGCGTGCCAAGACTTCGAAAGAAAATTCGTGCTGCAAACGGACGCCAGCGACTACGGCGTCGGGGCGGTCCTGACCCAGGACACCGAGGAGGGCGAACGAGTACGGCGTACGCGACAGTCAAACGTTGATTGGGGCCGAGAAAAACTACTCCGCAACGGAAAAGGAGTGCCTGGCCATAGTATGGGCGATAAGGCAAATGAGGCCCTACCTGGAGGGGTACCAGTTCGACGTGATCACGGACCACATGGCGTTGAAGTGGCTCAATAACATCGAGAGCCCACTCGGCAGAATAGCGAGGTGGGTATTCGAACTACAGCAGTATGACTACGTCATCAGCTACCGGAAGGGAAAGCTCAATGTGGTGGCCGACGCTCTGTCCCGCCAGCCGGTAATGGAAAAATTTAGGAAAGCCATGGAGGTGGTCGCCAAAGTATGCGGGTGGATAAGCGCATTGAGGAAAAAGATGACAACAAGCCCACAAAAATTCCCGGATTACGTGGAAGAGGGCGGTTTGATCTACCGCCACGTCCCGCACAGATCCGGAAGCGAGGAAGTGGCGTCATGGAAGCTGTGCGTGCCGCTGGAGATGAGGCAGCAGGTCCTCAAGGAAAATCATGACGCACCAACGGCGGGACACTTGGGCGTAAGGAAAACCATAGCCAGAGTGGCCGCTCGGTATTTCTGGCCAGGGATGCAGAGGGACATCCGGAAATACGTCAGGAGATGCGAGACGTGCCTGAAGTACAAGCCGAATCAGATGCAGATGGCCGGGCAAATGCTGACACAGGTTCCGGAGGAGCCATGGGCGACGGTATGTGCAGATTTCGTAGGCCCACTGCCCAGGTCGAAACACGGCAATACGATGATCCTGATGATAATCGATCGGTTTTCGAAATGGACGGAGATAGTGCCTCTTCGAAAAGCAACAACAGAGGCGCTGCAGAAGGCATTCAGGGAGAGAATTGTCGCTCGGTAATAATAACCGAAAATAATAATAACGGACAACGGGGTGCAGTTCACCAGTCGCAGCTTCAAGAAATTCCTCGGAGAACTCGGCGTACGCCATCAGTTCACCGCACCATATACGCCGCAGGAGAACCCCACGGAAAGAGCGAACAGGACGGTAAAAACAATGATCGCCCAGTTCGCTGGGAAAGAGCAAAGGAAGTGGGACGAACACTGGCCGGAGCTAATGTTGGCGGTAAATTCCGCAGTCTCGGAGTCCACGGGGTACTCGCCGTGTTTTATAACGCAGGGCAGGGAGCCAAGGATGCCGCGAGCCCTGTTCGACGAGAATGTGTTGGGCACGGGAGCCGAACAAGGAACACCCATGGAAAACGCGGCGAGACTCAAGGAGACATTCGAGATAGTAAGGAGGAATATGGAGCGAGCTGCCCAGGACCAGGCGCGACATTACAACTTGAGAAGGCGGAAGTGGATCTCAAAGGTCGGTGAAACTGTGTGGGCAAAGGAGCACCACCTATCAAAGGCGGCTGAAGGATTCGCGGCGAAACTGGCCCCTCGGTATGACGGGCCATATACGGTGGTGGATTTCGTTTCTCCAGTAATTGTCACGTTACGACACGGCAGGACAAGGAGGGAGAAGAGAGCCCATGTGAGCGAGCTAAAGGCTCAAGACACGGGAGAAACAACAAAGGAATAACGAAAACGGACAAATACATTGTGTCCGCATAACGGGCACACAAAAAAAAAAAAAACAAAAACCCCCCAAAGAGGAGGAGAGCAAGCAACGGGAGCAGTAGCGGGACATTTCCAGCAACGGGATATGAATGCGCTATATAAGTGGAGACATGGGAGATGGCCTATTCGAAATCAACACGCAGCCGCAACAATGTCATCAAGCGCATCAATGATTGTGTCTTCCGACGACAGCGACATTGAGATCGTCGGCGATCCTTCATGGAACGCCAAGAAGGCAAGGGCAGAGTGGATGGTCCGGCGGGCAGCAGGAGGAGGTGGATGCATCCCGGTCGGGTCCTTCGAGGTGGAGCGGCGGCGCAGGAGCGAGGAGCTGGGCCTGCACCTGCGAGTGGAGTGGTGAAGTCTACGGAAGACATGGCGAGGGCCCGCGTCAGGGTTATTGCCCAAATGTGAAGGAGGAGCACGAAGGAGGCCAGGCAGCGGCGCATCGATGGACGCATGAGGGCAATGGTCAGGGCGAGAGCGAAAACGGCACGGCAGCGGCGGACCCGGAAAATAGTGGAAACTGCGAGGAGAAGGGCCGCCGCCGGAAGGGTGCGACAGGCAAGAAAATGGAAGGCGAAGATACCGCCGACGCCACGCCCCAGACCGGAGAGGCCGGAGGAGAAGCCATGCAGGGCGGCCCCGAGTTGGAGGAGGGTCCGGGAGGCGACGCCGTGGCCCGCGGTGCCCCCGACACCGTGTTCACAGGAGCGGAGAGAGGAGCAGCCGGTGGAGAAGGGGCCGTGGGTGTGGCCGGAGCCGCGGAGGCCTGCGCTGGCCCGGCAGATATCATGCCCAGAAAAACGGCCGGCAAGGCCGGTGCTGGAGCGGCAGGCATCGGTCGGAGGCGGGCGAGAGGTGCCGGAGGACAGTTGGCCGCCGGAGCTTGCCGCAAGAGTGAAGGCGGAGTTAACGAAACGGCGAGGAAAACCCGGAAGGTGGTGCATCCTGGCACAGGTGGGTGCCACATGCTTCCGGGTGCGAGGAGACGGCAGAGGAGTAAGAGTGGTTAGGAGGAGTTGAAAAAAAAATAAAAAAAAAATAAAGAAATAATAAAAAACACAAAAAAAAAAAAAACTGAATAAATATATAAATAAGTATGACGAAATAAAAAAAAATGAACAAGAAATATATCGGATTGAAAAAAAAAGGGGGGGGAACAAAAGTTAGTATTTAGACCAAAAAAAAAAAAAAGTTAGTATTTAAAAAAAAAAAAAAAAAAAAAAAAAAAAAAAAAAAAAAATAATAATAATATGAATATATATAGGATAGGAATAAAGAAAAAAAAAAAAAAAAAAAAAAAGGGGGAAATTTTTATAAAAGGGTTAGCATAGTTAGTATTCAAAAAAAAATTAGTATTAAAGGATTTATAAAAAAAAAAAAAAAAAAAAAAAATAGTAGTTTTAGCATAGTTAGTATTTAAAAAAAAAAAAAAATAAAATAAAATAAAAAATAGTAATATATAAATATAGGGTTAGTATTAAAAATTAAAAAGAAAAGGAAACAAAAACAAAGAGGGGGAAAAGGGAAGGGAAAAAAAAAAACCAAAAACGACCGAACAACGCCAGCAATAGGGGGAAGCCGTCTTCCGAAGGAGGGGGGAAGTGGATGGGCATCCACACCAAAGAGAAAAGCGATCAGTCACAGTTTTTTTTCGGTGAGCTGAGAGTGGCCACGAAGTTTTCGTTACGTTGGCAAGTGTCTCTGTCGTTCCCGAAGAAGGGGGGAAGTGTGAGGAGAATTAGCCTCCTCACACGCTAAGACAGCAATGGCCAATCAGTTTAGGGGGGCCGCGGGAGATAGGCCGAGGACCAATACGAACGGGGAATGGTAGGGTTTCACCATCAAGTACGAAGACGGAATCAACGTGGAACGTAACGGTTCCCGGAGCAGCAGCAGACGAATGGGAAGACCAGGTTACATCGCCCAGTGGGAAGACAGAATCAACGTGGAACGTAACGGTTCCCGGAGCACCAGCAGACAAATGGCAATGCAAGGTTACATCGCCCAGTGGGAAGACGGAATCGAGGTGGAACGTAACGGTTTCCGGAGCACCAGCAGACAAATGGAAATGCAAGGTTACATCGCCCAGTGGGAAGACAGAATCGACGTGGAACGTAACGGTTCCCGGAGCACCAGTGGACGAATGGAAAGGCAGCGAGGGCAGTGAGGGGCAGAGCTCCATCATCGAGTGGGAAGACGGAGTCAACGTGGAACGTAACGGCTCCCGAGGCAACGGTGAGCACTATGAGCCCGCCGCGCAGCGGAGTTCAGGATGAGCGACAAGACTGGGGGCAGCAAAGGAGCAAGGAGCAACAGGAGAGGCGAAGGAGGCCAGCGGCACGTCGCATAGCAACAGCAGGGGTCAGCGGCCGAACGGAAAGGGGCAACGACCGCACGGATGGCAGCCCGCCAACGGGAAAGTGGCGTGATCTTGGAAGCAGGAGTAACGGCAGCCCGCCAACGGGAAAGTGGCGTGATTCTGGAAGCAGGATTAACGGCAGGAGCAGAATCCAGGAGGATTAACGGGCGCTCCAGTCAGTATAAAAGGAGGCCCACTGGAGCGGCTCGGAACGAGTCTTTTTAGGAAGCTTGTAGCGTTGAGTTGGAGGACCGCCTGTGGAGAGTCCGCCAGTCAAGTGTTAGAGCGTTTCTAAAAAGGATTCGGTTGTTTGAGTTGAAGAACCGCCTTTGGAGAGTCCAACAGCCAAACGTAAGGAGAACGAACGAGACAAGGAAAGAACAGTACGATGACAGTACGGAGACGAGTTGGACCAGTTCCTGGCCACGGCAGGTAGCCTTGCTAGGAAGTGCAAAAAGGATAAGTCTGGCGCACGCCACTCGGACTCCTGACTCACAACCAACAGGCGTGGTCCTGCACCGGAAAGGACAGGCCAACTCAGGATCCCGAGCCCGGTTTCGCTCCGGAGGACGAGAAGGACAGGACGAGAGAGGATCGGCGTCGGTTGGTTTCCTCGAAAGCTACAGGGTAACAGAGTCGAGTGTGGGCTATTCCAAGTCAAAGCAGGTAGCCTTGCAAGGAAGTGAGGAAAGAACAAGTCTGGCGTACGCCACGCGGGTTCTTGACTGGCAACCAACAGGCGTGGTCCTGCAGGACGCGGATAAGCCAACTCGGGAACTCACGCCCGCTTTGGAGCGCGATCGGAGAGGCTCCGATCACCTACCGAGCAGCTCTTGACCCGGGCCCAGTGGCGCGTACGCGCGGTGGTCACCCGGACGAAAGGGAGGCGTGACGTACGGTCCTGGACAGGCGACTTCCGACCCCGTCGGAAACTGACAAGACTTCGGCGACTCCCAATCCAGGCCCGCCGGTGCGAAAAGGCACGGCGTCTCCTGGCGTAGAGGAGCCGGCTGTAGACAGCTAACTCTGAACCAGGGCCGCTGGTGCGCATGCACAGCGGGTTGCGGGGACGACCACCAGTAGCCATCTCCCAAACCGGACTCGCCGGTGCGAAAAGCACGGCGTGTTTTCTGGCGTAGCGGAGCCTACTGCAGGCCGCACACCCCGAACCAGGTCCGCCGGTGCGCATGCACGGCGCATCTCCCTGGTGGTGCAGAGGTGACAGTCAGTAGCTATCTCCCGAACCAGTGTCGCTGGCGCGCAGAGCACGGCGTTCATCCTGGTGTAGCGGAGGCTACAGCCCGCCAACTCCCGAGCCCGGCGGTACAGCGCGTATCCCCGACGGCGTAGTGGAGGCTTTCAGTACATAGCCGAAGGCCAGACCAGATCAAAGAGGTGGAAGGCTTGACGACGGATCAACGAAGAGGAACCCCGGCAACGAGAGCAACAGCGGAAACACCAGCAACGGAGGAGATCACCCGGACGGGTACACCAAGGTCACCAAGGACGCACCAAGGGTCATTCCCGGGAACCCGCATAAATCACCATTGTAAGAGAGAGAGCAGAGAATAAAGAGATTGCACAAGGGAAAGCTACTTGTATTATTTTCTGGGCTTGGGCAATCACGTCGAATCTATAAATTCGGTGGAACGGATCCGCGAAACTCTGTGAGCTAGCCGCGGCAAATTGTGGCGAGCGGAAGCAGAAATAACAGTCGTTACAACGCAAATGCATACATTTCTCTCGCCACATAATCTTACTCGATTTTTTTGTTATTGATTCAATACCTTTGTAAATAAAACTAATTATTTAAATTTAAATTTGGCTTACCAGCTCCACTGAACCCACCAGAATTTGACGAAGATGCGCACGCCAAATCTTCACTTGGTAATGGTGGTAATGGTGATCGCGGCCTGTTTGCAGTTTTTTGGGAATTGTTTTGGACATTTTCAACATTACTCTCAATAAATTATATAGTCTCAGCATCCTCTAAAGCAGTATTAAGAGCATCCATTATAGCAATATCTTCGTCCTCGTCCTCGTCCTGAACACTTCTTCATCCGATGAAACTGAGTCAAATATTTTGAGCAACTGTTCATCTGTCAAGTCGAACAGCTTGTACCGAAACCGGTTTGCCATTTTCTATAATATTTCTTATTCTATTAAGTAACATCACTCCATAAACAGAAACAGACACATAAATAGCAATCAATTGTGAAATTATCAGCTGGCAACAAAAGTTGTTTTGGATCCCCCACCATGCCTCAAGGCACGTATCGCTATTTCGTTATCACAACGCATGCTTTTTATATATTTGCAAATCTTTTACTTAATTTTAAAAGTAAATAAACTTACCTTTCAAGACAAAAAATTATGACCTTAAAAGATTTTATATATTTACTACTATTTGAACAGCAACACACAACAAACCGCAGACCAAATTTTAAGCGCGAAAATTATGATAACGTCATGATAAAACCAATTAATCACAATAAAAAATCTAAAAATAAAGTCCCAAGCTTCTATCTTCAAAAATACGAAAGTTGATATTTCTACCAAATACCATTTCCGATCGTTCAATTATATGGCAGCTATAGGATATAGTCGGCCGATCCCAATTAAATTTCGAAGGTTGGATTAACTGACCAAAAATAGAATCTGTACCAAGTTCCAGCTTTCTATCTTCAAAAACACGAAAGTTGGGTCATTTCCGATCGTTCAGTTATATGGCAGCTATAGGATATAGTCGGCCGATCCTAATGAAATTTCGTAGGTTGGATTAACTGTCCAAAAATAGAATCTGTACTAAGTTTTAGCTTTCTATCTTCAAAAACACGAAAGTTGGGTCATTTCCGATCGTTCAGTTATATGGCAGCTATAAGATATAGTCGGCCGATCCTTATGAAATTTGGCATGTCGTAATGTGTTGCCAAAAATAGCTCTCGTGTCAAATTTTAACTCTCTAACTCTAAAAACACCAAAGTTATACCATTTCCGATCAATCAGTTATATGGCAGCTATAGGATATAGTCGGCCGATTACGGCCATTCCGATTTATACACTGCGTGCAAAGGAAAGAAGGGTGTGTGCAAAGTTTCAAGACGATAGCTTTTAAACTGAGAGACTAGTTCGCGTAGAAACAGACAGACTGACGGACAGATGGACAGACGGACATGCTCATATCAACTCAGGAGGTGATCCTGATCAAGAATATATATACTTTATAGGGTCGGAGATTTCTCCTTTACTGCGTTGCACAATTTTGGACAAAATTATAATACACTCTGCAAGGGTATAAAAATTAAAAACTATGGGAAAAAACCAGCCTTACGTCTTAGATGGTTAACTTGAAGGATCTGCATACCATTTAGTGACAGCGGAAAGCATGTTTGGCTATTAGGAGTAATGCGTTTATTTTAATGCGCCAGTCGGACAGCCACCTTTCCACTACTATTAAATGATTAGCCAGTTTGGTTGTTGCTTGCGTTGGGCATCTAAAGCGACTAAGGATAGCGATATCGTCGGCGAACGTTGACGTTTTTAGTTGTGCGCTCGTAGGAATATCCGCAGTATACAAAACATATAGACGCGGGCCGAGTGCGCTTCCTTGTGGAACTCCAGCTTCGATGGTGTAGTCGCCCGAAGTAGCAGTGTTGCATCTCACTGAGAATACCCTATTGTAGAGGTATGATTTCAGTAGCTTTTGAGTGTATGTTGACAAATACTTTTTAATTTCGTGCATGAGTTCAAGTCCAAACTCGGTCGAAAACTTGAGATACGTCGACAAAAATAGCGATAAATTATTCAAGTGGTATACGAACTACCGAACTGAGCGGACGTGCTTTGTCCGAGCTCCGGGAAAACTGAAAAATACAGCTAATCAAAAAAAACTGGGGTAACCCAATATACTAAAAGCGACAAACAAGCTTTTTATAACAGTTGTGATGTGCTAAACCAAAACTAGTGCATTGTTCAAAAAAAAATTAAGAGCCACGCAATGAGCTCATTGAGTAACGATCAAAAGAACGAGCGTAGAAGTTCAGTAAACCAAAGAAACGGCTTCTTCTCTTATTTTTCAACCCGCGATACCGAAGTGGAAAAATCGGCGATTATAAGCAACCCGGCGTTACTGACCGTTGAAACCCAAAGGGCACGGTCTTACTCCCGCGTCATGGAGTTCGCAGTGTAAAACCCCCCCTCCAATATCGGAAACAAATTTCGCACCAACAACTAGCAGCGCTACAACTTCTGCAACAACAGCGAAAACATCTGCAACTCAAAGTACCGCGACGTCAACGACTACAGCGAGTACAAAAACAACAACCTCGGAAAGTGCCAAAGCGGTAACGGCCACACAGACTGGAATGGATCGCTACATCCAAATTAAGCGCAAGCTTAGCCCGCAGAGTAATCCGGCAGGCAACAAAACAATAATTAACCGTGTCCTGAATATCGATAAAGAACCAGACAGATCCACTACTAACAGATTTGCCCTACTGGCGGAGGTTGAGGAAAACCAACCAGCCCAAGACACTGCAAAAAAACCCAAGCCCCCTCCAATCTATATTAGGGAAAAAAGCTCGAGTGCCCTGGTCAACAAAATTGCGTCGTTGATCGGGAACGGTGACAACTTTCATGTTGTTCCGCTTATCAAAGGGAACATTCATGAAACAAAGGTGCAAACCAAGTCTGAAGAGCACTTCCGAATCGTGTCCAAATATCTGGACACTGTACAGAAAAACTACTACACGTACCAGCTGAAAAGCAGTAAGGGCCTACAAGTGGTAGTAAAGGGAATAGAACCTGATGTTACCGCCGAGGAAATAAAAACCGCCCTTAAAGAAAAGGGCTTTGCCGCCAAGAATGTTATTAACATTCTAAATAAAGATAAAAAGCCACAACCCCTCTTCAAGGTCGAGCTCGAGCCAGAAAGCAGGTCGCTAAAGAAGAACGAAGTCAAATCAATCTACAACCTGCAATATCTTTTGCATCGGAAAATCACTGTTGAAGAGCCACATAAACGCAACGGTCCAGTGCAATGCACTAATTGTCAAGAGTATGGACACACAAGGTCTTACTGCACACTACGGGCTAGACGTTCAACAAATGGCAAACCACGTGCGGAGGGCTGAGCTCGATCTCCACACTACAGCAAACGACTCGGCGGCGGCGCTTGCTACGGCCCTTGATGCGGCCTGTAACGCATGCATGAAGGCGCGCACGACCTTTGCTCGGCATCATAAACCAGCTCCGTGGTGGACAAGCCATATCTCGGCTCTTCGTAAGGAGTGCCTAAGGGCTAGAAGATCCCTGCAGCGAGCTCGTGGCACTGACGCGCAGGAGCAAAGACGCCTAAAATTCAAGGCAGCGAGGAAAACGCTGAAAAAGGCCATACGGGACAGTAAGCGCGAGCTGTTCCTCAAGTTATGCGACGAAGCCGAACTCGACCCATGGGGACAGGCGTATAAAATCGTAACAAAAAAAGTCAGGGCAGGGAGCCAGCCCCCTTCAGACCCGGTCGCACTGAGCGCCATAATAGACATATTATTTCCAAGCTGTCAAGGAGAAGGAACACGCCCGGCTATTGAGGACGTCGAAGAAGAGTCAGTGGAAGCGGTCACAGCAGAGGAGGTGCTAGCGGCTGCACGAAATCTAGCTCCCAACAAAGCTCCCGGCCCAGACGCGGTGCCAAACCGAGCACTCAAGGTGGCCCTGGCCCAAATACCAGAAAAGATTGCAGCAGTCTATAATCAATGCTTGCTGGAAGGATCCTTCCCGAAGGTGTGGAAGAAGCAGAGGCTTCTTCTACTAACAAAGCCCGGTAAGCCACCCGGTGA